TTCCGTAGTGTTTTCATTCTCAGAAAAAAAAATCTCTTTGATTCAAAGGCCCCTTGATAGAAATAAAGAAACAGCCAGGCCCAAGTTTCTTTGATATTTGGGAAGGCAAGAGTTTATGGGACAGCCTCTTTTAGGGTGAGGGGGATTCTGGCTGGACAGAAGTGGGCATTTTCTGGGATAGTGCAGGGCAGGAGAGTCATGGGCTTTCTGTAGGGCTGCAGAGTCCCAATGCAAAAGTGCTCTGCTCCAATAGTTTCCAGACCCAGTTTCTTTCAACCCCATTTCTCTGAGATCCGCAAGGTCAATATCTACTTACTGCTTTATTGCTTCAGGAGCCTGAAGCAGAGGTGTGTGTGTGTGTGTGTGTGTGTGTGTGTGTGTGTGTGTGTGTACATGACATCTCACTATGTAGCTCTGGCTATCCTGGAACTAAACTCACTATGTAGCCAAGGCTGTCTGAACTTACAGAGATCTGAGATCTGCCTACCTCTTCCTTCTGAGTACTGTAATCAGCCTCATGTTTGAGGGTGCACAGCAAAGTAAATCAAAGACTGAAAGATTTTCATCTTTTGGGTTTGGGGTTTTTGTGCTGTCAACTTCTCATTCCATAATGACCAAGGTGAGAAAGTAGATGGATATTATCAGGCTTCATCATGTACCAAGCGGGGCATGTCTTGGGAAGTACTGGTGCTGTATGAAGGGAGGTGTGGCACATTGGAGCCACAGTAGTGGCTACTGGACAGAACATCATGTTTGATGTTTATTCCTTAACAGCTGAAAACATCAATCAAGGGACTTGAGGGGAAAAGAAAAAGCTCTGTGTAAAATATAAGACTCTGTAGTGGATGCTATGGACTCTGCTAAACGTGTCTTCTTCCTCAAACACCTTGAAAACAAGTCCTGCATCTTCTCAGTTCTTTCCAATGCACCAAGTGTTTTTACAACATTCATCCTCACATCAGCCCACACACATTCTTGCCATTTAGATTTCTTAAGTACCCAAATGATATTCACTGAAAAATTGACCCCAAACAAACAAGCAAACAAACCCCTCAATCCTTTTGACTGCTGTCTTTAAGAAACTCCCAGGTTACCAGGGTGGATAACATGTTTATTCTGCCTGCCCTGCCCTACTGGACAACTATTAAGAGTCCTGTCTTTACTATCGGAACCAACATGTCTGTATTCAGCTTACAGTTCAGCTGTTAAAACAAACAAAGACACAGAGGCCATGACAAGTGTGATATTTTAGGGGACATGGACTTTGGAACTAGTCAGCCCCAGTTAAATTTTGTCTTGGCCACTAGAAGGCCTTGTTGCTGTGGTCAGGGTACTTAATCCCTGGAGATTGGTTGTCTTCACTCATCCATCAAGTGTAGTCACAGAGCCTGTGACTAAGGTATTTTGAGACATAAACATGAGAACACCTTCACAAATGTTGTTCCTTGCCTTTCCCAGCTCTCCTTGAACAGGTCAAACATACCCGGTAAAGTTCCATATAACTAGCCAAAGTATAAGCCTAAGCACCAACTTCACCACCACTAGACAACTTAAGTACAACACTGGCCTTGCAAAACACAAGAAACCTAATGTGAAACACATTGCTAGATGAATTTAGATGAAGACTTCCTAATTAGATGAATAGTTATCTATCTGCCTCCTATATATACAGTTACAACTGAGATAGTTAACACTATAAGATTGTAAGTTCAGCTGGGCATGATGGTTCACACCTTTAATTCCCAGCACTTGGGAGGCTGAAGCAGGATGGTTGCTGTAAGTTCCAGGCCACCCTGGGATATAGAGTGATATCCAGTCTCACACACAAAAAGACTGCTTCTAATATATATATATATATATATATATATATATATATATATATATGGCTATATATGTATATCTTAAGTTCATTACCCTTATTCTTTAAAAAAAAAGTAATTTTGGCAAAGGAGAAAAGAAACTAAGAAGCTGGACTTATGTGAGATTGGAAAGAGAAATGATTCTATCTAGGTTTTTTATTCAAGCCAAATTGCAGTTCAACCCTTTGATCCCTCAGGACAAGGGGTGATGATGGAGATAGTACAGACAGCTCAGGCTGATGCATCTAGTAGGAGATGCTCATTGAATATGTTGCTTGATGGCCTGAGGTGGCTTAGCAAGCCCAGGTCTCTCATTTTATCTCTGTTGTGGGCTTCTTGGCAAACACAGTGCACACTGTGGTGTGATCATGGAAAGAACATTTGACCAGTGGTCTGAAAGTGCAGTTTCCATCTACATCACTTAACAGCCTGGCGACCTTGGACATGCCATTTAATCTGTTAAGTGTCATCTCACCTGTAAAACGAGGAGCCTGGACTCAGCAACTTGGAAGGCCTCTTTCAGCTCTGAGGCTGGAACTTGAAGTCATTTCATTTGCTGGTGTTTCTGCTTCATTTATTCAAAGGTAGCAAGGGTAGAAACCTATCTCATGGGGAGGAAGGAAGACACAGTGTGTGTGTCTTAAAATCTCTGGATTCTTAAAGGAACCAGAAAATGCAGAGATGGGGAACCAATGTAACAGAAACAAGGTAACAGAAACAAGGTAAAAGAAACAATGTAACAGAAGGGGAAGCTGAGTGATGGAGCCTACACCCTCAACTTCAGCCCCATCTCAACCTTGCCTAGGTGTGACAAGCTTCCTAATTTATTTCAGCTATGGCTTGTACATCTGTAAACTGGGGGCTGTAAACTGTCAAGATGTGCCATTTTAATCACAGCACATTCTGTTGAAAGCCAACATAGTGATCATGTTTTGAAAACAAACAAAAAACAAAAAAACTGCAAGGAAAACTATATAAGTGTAGTAGCTTTGAGAACTGACATAGATTTGGGAGTCCTGATCCAAAGCTGATTTCTGCTCTAATTCAGTAATAGGTGAAATTGAGTTAAATTATTCATTCATACAGTCTCCCAAAGAGTAATCATCTAGTATTTGCTCAGTGTCTTCTGATATAGGGCATTTTCACAAGGCTAAGTCACTACTGTAGAAAGAGACCTTATTTCATACCTTCTTCCCTAAAAGGGCTAATTGACTTCCATTGTTGTATGTGGTGGTTGAGACAGCTTTCTAACTTTTGTTAGCGTCACTAGGTAATAATTACAAATATGTAAAGTACATCTGTGACACCGTGGTACAATAGCCTTTCATCCCAAGCCTTTTGGGGGATTGCTATCTGGAGACAGGGGTGCTATCTGGAGGCATGGGAGGAGGCTTCCTTCCGTGAATCTCTGGGGCTGGTTCAGGGACCACCCTCATAAGATTGCCAGAAAGTCTCAGCCTAGAATCTAGCTCTCAAGCACTGGCTCCCCAGGTGACAACATGTCACATGACAGCCAATGGCACTGAGATGTTTTCCACCCTATTCAAAGGTACAGGCAACCACTCTGTTAATAATAAGGTACCCTGGACCATCTTCTGTCAGCACCTGTTCATAAAGACTGGCCCTCCACCAGACCCCACCCCCATCCACCCCTACCCAGGTCCTGAATAGCACGAACAGCTCTAGATGCTCTAGATGTATCTGGAGGAGTAGGAACAGCCCCTTGCATTTTTCTGGTTACAGGGCTTATGAAATACTGCTCCTTTAAGAAATCCAGCTTTTACTCTGGTTGAATACATGGTTGGGGTGGGGGATATTGCAAAATCGTTCTTACAGATTCATTTTATGTTTGGATTAATTCGAGGGGAAGAGTAGATGCTGAAAATTATGGGATCCCCTTTCTCAACACCCTTATGGCCCTGCCACTGATAACCCCTCTCATGAACCTAGTAGTCTTTTACTGGAGAGGACCAGTGTAGTTTCACTTTTCTTTCACGGTTCAGACTTATTTCAAGTCGCATTTAATTGTGCTTAGTTTTTGATCACAGCTCTCCCTTTCCCCAGCTCCTTTATGCACATGGGTCAAGGTTATGAAGCTGTTTTACAGGAGTAATTGAAAGAGAGGCCACAGAGGGGCAGCGCTGGGTACCAAGTCCTATCTTCCTGGCCCTGGGGCCGCAGAACTGAAATTCCTGGGCAGTGTAGATCCTGGAGATCTTTGTGTTTGCTGTCAGAATGGCTCTGGGAGCTAAGGCTAGTGGGGTGTGCTTGCCCCCTGCCCACCGCCCCCTACACACAACCCAAACAGTGTGTTCCTGCAAGGCTGTGTGTGTGTGTGTGTGTGTGTGTGTGTGTGTGCGCGCGCGCGCGCGCGCGCGCAAACGCAAGAGCTCCCGCGCAGTGGAAAAACCCTAGTAAGACACCACATCCTTTCTCCCACAAACAGAACCCTCCAAGGACCCCAGGACTAAAGACTTTTTGAGGAGCCAACATGTCCCCCGCCCCGCAATCTCCCCAGTCCCCAGTCTCTGCAATCTCCTGTCCCATCTTTTTCTTTTTCCTCATCTCCCCTGGGCGCCGCGGGTGATGATCCCCAAGAGAGGCCTAGTTTGCATGGATGACCAGGGAAGAGGGTCCTGAAATGTGGGAGTCACAGAGAAATGCGGCGCCAGGCACTTGGGTGAAGGAATGGCGCTCTCCCCCGGCGAGCTGACACGACCCAAGTGGGCACCAACGCCTTCCTCACTCCCATCCATCCCCACATTCTTGAGTCCTGGGGTGTGCGCGGGGAGGGGGCTGCGGATACTGCGGATCTGTGGACAGGATGCAGCATTGACATTGAATTCCAGCACGGGAACGCGCGCGTGTGAGCTGTGGGGGAGGGGGCCGGACTCGTAGCTGCCTCGAACCAGCTCAGGCGGGGTGCAGTGCCAGGCTGGTCCCTGCCGCCGCCCCCAGGAGCTGTGAGCGCTAAAGCCATTCATGATTTTGGTGACGTTATTCTAAGAGTGGGCGAGAGGAGGCGGAGCCGCTCTCGGACAAGCCCCGCCCCCTCTCCTATAAATGCGGCTTCCCGGGCTCTTTGTGGGACCCGGAGCTCGGTGGAGAGCTGGGAGCTTGGTCTGCACTGCTAACGCCGCTGGCAGCGGGACTGTCTCGGAAGGCGGACCGACGGTCGCCTAGTACTCGCTCTCGGTTGCCCGCTGCTCTCTGCGCGAGTCATCCTCATTTGGGACGCAGTGGCTGTTTTGTTTTTTTAAAAATCACAAGGGCGTGGGTCAGCCTCCCCTAGGACTTCATGTCTGTATATTTCCCCATTCACTGGTGAGTATCCTGCGCCTGCGGTGGACGCCGGTTTAACCTGGGTGGCTGCGGGGCCCGGCAGCCTCCTAGTGCCGGCTCCGGGTGCGAGGCCAGAGAGTGGCACGGACACCCAGTGCTGGCTAACCCGCCGCCTCAGCCCCTGCAGGAGTCGACGTCAAGGTTGCAAAGCTGGGGGTTGGGGGAGGCGGTGCTGAGAGCATCCAGACAAAGGAAGTGAACTCGGAACCTTCACTTAAGTGGCGGCCGGTGGATATGGTGGCGATGGGTGGGGGAAGAACCTGGGTCCCAGCCTGAAGCCCCCCAAGGAAACTCTATCCCCAGAGGGCGGCAGGAGATGAGTCCTGCCTGGTTCAGGGGGCTCCGGCTCGCCGGGCCCCTCCCCTTTTCCTTTTTGTTTGCATGCAAGTCTCGGCGCCGAGGACGGCTGCAGCGGGGTTCAGCTGGTGCAGCCGCCCGGGTTGCAGAGCTTGGGAGTTGCGAGGAGGAGGGGAAGACGCTCTCCGCACACACAAGCCCACAAGCAGCAGGGTGCACGCTGCACCTTCTCAACCCCTGCTCTCCGTGGCCCCTAAAATCCAACGCGCCTTTGTGGAGGGTCAGAGTCGGGGAAGAGGGGCTCCCCCAGGGCTAGATTGGAAGAAACGGGTCACAGCTTGAGGGGTGGGGGGAGTGCTGCAGAGGTTTGCCTCCAGTCGGGGAGGGAGAGAATCGGTTGTGGGGATCAGATCCCGGGAGGCCCCTAACTGCTGGGACCTGCGAGCCAGCTGCTTCTTCCTTCCTGCTGTGGGGTAGAGGAGGAGCGCTACGGGGAGATGAGCGTCTGTGGTCCTGGAGCGCGCAGGTGCTGCCCTCAGAGAGCGGGTACTAGGTCCAAGCAAGCTCTGAGCCCAGAGAAAGTGGGCCCTTGCCAGGGCACTGTTCTTCTTAGCCCAGGAACTCTGAAAGTTCGTTTGTCGTTTTAACTTTTTTGGGCCCGCGCCACAGTTCCAAGAAAGAACAGAACGCCGCTAGAAGCCTGTTCGCAGTCCTGTGGATACTCTCCTGCCTCCCTTCTTTGGGGTTTGGAGGCATCATTTCTACACCCGGGAGGAAATTGTTAAAGTCTAACTTCAAAACCCAAACTTGCCCCCAAGCTATTCACCCTCTCTTGGTGTCTCTGCCCCCACCCCCGCCCCAGTTAGACAGGCCACTGAGTTTCAAAAGGAAGTAAAATTCCCCTACACTTGGACCTTGTGTACCCCCTCATGTATAGACAGGTAGGTTTCTTATGGGTGAGGCTTTGAAGGGTGGTGGAGGCTCCCCCACTCCCCCCGTGCGTGCTCAAAATTCACTAAGGTAGATGTTCAGAGCCCTCAGGGATATTAGCCCCCCCCCACTCACCCATTAAGGTTTATAATTATTTTGTTCTTTAGCACTTTCTACAATGTCTGCAAACAGTTTCCTCTCCAGACATAACTATGAGCTATGCATTGTTAGCTAGCATCATGGTAATAAACAGGGCTTCTGTAGCTCAGAGAGGTTCTACAATCTGTAAAAGCTAGCACAGCTCTTAAGTGGTGAGGGCTCTCAGAACTGATTGCTTTTTATTGCCAGGGCCAAATACCATTTCTACTCTATCTGGTACAAGAAAAAAAAAAAAAAAAAAGATTCTTGTCTTCCTGTTTTCATAGTCTCTCTAAAGCCTACCCCCCCCCTTGCCTTTTTCCTTTTTAAAACCACGTGCACAGACATGATAGTGAGAACACTGGGTGTTGGGTCGTGAGTACCTGGATTCTGTATATGTGTATTTGGCACTATGCATACTGAACTCTGTGTATGCCCATAGCCTGTGCAAGGATAATGGACTGTTTGTATCCTGCTTAGAGAGTACAAAGTGCTTTCACATGGTGGGCCAACTTGGCCCTTCTGGAAATTTCCTTGCATTCAGAATCTGTGTATCCTTCAAGCTTTTAATCCAGGGGATGTTTTTCATGCTGGGAGCTAGTAGCAGCTGCTACTAGGGCTACAGAAATGAGTAGGATGGCAGATGTGAAGCTTGGGGAAAAGCTGACTCCTTGGGGTGGGATTTTGCCTAAAGGGGCACAGACAGACAGAGACAGTGAAGAAGGCTCCATGATTAGACTTTGGCTCCCCAAGGGGGGGCTGTTATTGTTATGTAATTCTGCTGTGCAGTTCCCATTGGAAATTCATGGGCAACATTATTTTTATTCTTAATGGAAGAATGAGGGAAGACCTAGAAGTGTTCGTTTCATAGAAACCCACACACTCAACTGCCTATTGTGTGTGTGTGTGTTGTTGTTGTTGTTGTTTCTAGTTTAATAGAAAATCCAAGATTGCTTTGTGTAAGGTTTGGAGGTGGGGGAAAGAGAAGTTGAAGAGACTGGGGGCTTTGTCTGTCTCTGGGGATGAGCAAGCCACAAAGCTGGGGGTTTGAATGTTGCTTCCTCAGGTGAACTTGTTTTGTTGTGAGCTTTTGAGCATTTCTCATCCTATCTTTAGCCAATCCCCTGATCTCAGGGCCACAAAGTCACTAAGAGGAGGAATGTGCCTGTATATACATAGATTGACTTCTGGTCTGAATTCCTTCGCAGCCCTGACTATCTGAGATCTGCTGAAATGACTGAGGTGATGATGAACACCCCATCCATGGAAGAGATTGGCCTCAGCCCCCGGAAGGATGGTCTTTCCTATCAGGTGTGTGCAAATGTCTTAGGGCCTTGTGCTTTTCTCTAAGACTGGAAGTAAGCATGGTTTGGGGTTCCCAATATCACCTGTAAGAGTTTGGGGATCCCAGTGTCACCTGTAAGAGCCATGTCACCTTGAGAAAGTCCCTGACTGCCAATGAGCCCCAGTTTCTTCATTTGTAAAATGAGGCAACAGTGGTCCTAAACCTGTAGGACTGTGATGAAGAGTGAACATGATGAGAGGGTGGGTTTAAGGCATTTATAGTGCTTGGGTCAGTAGACATTCACTGACATCTATCTAGCCATCTTGATTCTCCAAAGGCCTTATGCAGTAACAATGCAACTGATGGGGAAGAGTGGTCTGATAGGAGAATCGCTACCTGTCTTTTCAGAGCTGACTGGCCGATTCAATGTTCATGTTTAAACTACACAGAGCTGAAGAGGATGCTTTTTTTAGGGATGCTGATACTAGAATGTAGCATAGGGCTCATCCTATCTTGTGGAGATAAATATACAGGACAGCAGAAAAAGAGAGTGGGAGACCTGCTTTCTTGCTCTTGGACAGTGATCTTTAAGTGTGGGGAAACCTCAACATCAAGGGAAAGTAGTGGATATCACCTCAGCCAGAAACAGAGCATTTAGTTACCTCCTGGAGGGACAACTGGTTTTGGATCACCTGAGAGTCCCTAGATTGCCAGTTTGGGAGGAGAGAAGTATTTGTAAGGGAATATTTTGAGGCTCAGGTATTATATACAGTGGCCAGTCTAGGCAAGAGCATAAAGTGCAAAACAATTTGTGCACATTACTTTGTCTGTTTTCTGCTGTAGCTCCCAAAGGAATGCCCATACACCTTTTACACTGAGACCCTAGCCCAGCCCTGACTTTCTGATGTAATCATGTCTTCACACTGGGCTAGTTCTGCCTGAGTGTAGACTTACTCCAGCTGCTTATTCCTTAGAGCTGTTTCAGGGACACTTTTTTTGTAGAGAAAGAAATAAATAGAAAAGCTGGGATGGGTGCCATGTGATGTGATGGGAGGAGAGTAATCAAAGAGAAGACAAGACAAAAGCTAAGGCTGGGAACATGTCTTCAGATACTAGACATGCTTGGGAGGTTCAGGAGGCCCTGTGTTTTATGTCAACACACCAGGCCTCACTTGTTGGCTGCAAATAAGAAGGGGGAGGAGAGGGGGACTAAGGGAAAGTGGTTTTTCAAGGCTGTTCTTTCTTTTCCTGGAGAGAGACTAAGGAAGGCAGTGGAGGGCTCCATGACCAGGTGGGAAGTATAGAAGTCCCCAGGCCTGCCTGCTGGGTACTTTTGGATACCAGTTTCTAAGCCTGTGAGTCAGACTAAATGTCGTGGTTACAGGTGAGAGCATATTTCAGTTCCTGGTTGTAGATTTCCACTGCAGAATCTTTTAGCTGCAATTGTCATACATGTGTGTAACTGGGTGTGTGTGCATGTGTGTGTGTGCGCGCACACGTGCGTGTGCACACGTCTGTTTGTCTGTCTGTCTGTGTCTGTGTGTGGCATTATTCTCCTTTAAACAGATCTTTAGTAAAGAGTCAGGCAGTCTTAGCCCTACACCTTGGAGAGCACATTCTAGTAGATAGGACCCTTACCCTAGGTGACATGGAGGAGGGGGACTGTCATACTGGGTAAAGGGGACTAAATTGGGGCTGCAGTGGCTGGAGACAAACAAAAGCATTTCTGGCTTCTTGTAGTGTCTGGACACCTCCTGAGAAAAAGACCCTCTAAGTGGGGACTCCTGCCCAGTGTCCAAATACCTTACCTGGCACTTCAAAACATATCTTGTCATAGACAGTATCAGAAAAGGCTCTTGGCTGTCCAGTGCAGAGAAAAGGGAAAGTTACAGTGTTTAGACAAGCAGCATTTACTAGGTATTTTCTGCATTTCACCTGATGTTCCGATTTCAGCATCCAGGGCCTGGGACTTGTGGGAACCCTCATGCATGCATACTTCTGAAACACATGCGGCCTAGCCAATCTATGTACAGGCACTGGTGATTAGATCTTACAGAATCTGAGATGTCGTGAGACAGGGAATCAGCAAGGGCTGGGCTTTGAACCACAAGGAGAATCTTGAGGAGGCAACCCCCTCTCACATGTGATTTTACGAAGCTTCAGATGCCCCTTGGTAGCCTGTGTATGCCAAGTGTGGGGCTCCACTGTGAGCTGGTCTGGCAACTGTCAACTTATGGGTACTCCAGGCCCCCACAAAGCTGGTGCCATCAAATTAAAAGTTTTCCCACCAATGCCCTGGGAATTGGCTCAGCCTGGCTCTTGGCTGAAGCCTGTTGCCTTGCATGCTTGGGCTCTGCTTGGAGCTAAGGGTGGGAACTGAGTACTCCATTCTTGGCTTTACTCCTGAGGATAATAATAGTATGTGGCTTTTACTGAGACCTGCTTTTCCAAGGAACTGAGTAAGGGCTGGAGACATCAATCCCAACTTGGCAGATAATTCAGGCTTGTAATTTGACCTTGAAACAAGGTCACCATATAAGTGACACATTGGACTTTCAAGTCATTCCCCTACCTTCCAGACCCACAGTGAATTAAGCTTCCCTGAATTCTCTGTTTTGTATACAGCCATTCTTTTAGCCTGTGCTTGGGGTTGGATTTTAAACTGTCCATTGATGCTGTGCTGGGTTTTCAGGATGTGGGCCCTGCACTGCCTTCCCTTTGCCAGGTCTGTAACAGCAGGTGTGCCTGCTCTCAGCTTTGTATCCTTTACCCATTGCCCTTTGCTCACTCGGGTCTTAAATGCTTCTAGAACTGGTTTTAAGGGAAAGGGTGTCCTGATTTGGAAACTAGCCACCTTTACCTCGATGGTGGCCTCTGAAGGTCCTGATGAAGTTATAGGCCAAGCCCATACCTGTCCAAACTGAGTATATCTTTTTTATCCTCTGAAGGATTTGGGTTAGCTTTTCTATTATTGTCTAGAAATTCATACCAATAATATTTTATTGTATTGTATTTTCAGACAGTCTCATGGATCCCCAGACTAGTCAAAGGTGATTTTAAACCCATAATCCTCTTGCTTCCAACTCTTGAGTGCTGGGATTAGAGGCACAGGCTACAATGCCCAGTTTATGCAGTTCTGGGGTCAAACCCAGGGCCTCATGCATACCAGGCAAGCGCTGTGCCACACTGAGCTACATCCTCAGCCTGGAGTTCATACCATTTTGTGAGCATGTATAAAAATCTGGAACCAATGATTTGTTTTGTCTTCATATCCATCTGGAGAGTCATTCAAATAAGTGAAACCCACGTGGCTCATTTATTTGGCAGGAATTATCACACCCCATGGGGTGGGTGAGTAAATGGTTACTAGAAAGCCTAGTACATTTAGCTCAAGCTGTGGGTGGCAGCACGCTCTCAGAGCCATGTAAGAGGGTCTCTGTGAGGATATTTATGTCCTTGAGGGTGGTAGCTCCATCTCCATGCTGTGTCTATGGGTTTCCCAGTCAATCACCAGCCTATGGGACAGGAATGTGTGCCATCCAGTCAGTGCAGACCAATCACTGAATGCCTGGTGGAGTCTGCTCTTCCTATGGACCCACTACTGTAAGGATGTGATATATAAGGATATGGCTTTCTCTGAGGGTTTCCTCTCAAATTGATCAGCACTCTATATGGGGAAGGGTCCTGATGATTTCCCTGTGAGTTCTTATATTGATGAACCCCAAGGAGCCCTGACATTTTAGCCTTGCCCCCCCTAACTCCTTCTGACACAGTATACAGGGACTGTACTAATTTTCCTCACCATGCTTAAGTCTTTACATACTTTAGGGTGCCTTCAGATTTAAACCTGTCCTCCCTCAGCTTCTGGTCCAAAGTTTGATACCAATCTCTTTCCATAGACTCCTTTCATTTTTATACTATTTATGTATAGACAGGGTCTCTAGCTCTGGCTGGGCTGGAACTTTCTGTGTAGAGGAGGGTGACCTTGAGCTCTCGTGGTGATGGAGAGCAAACCCAGAGTTGCATACATTCTGGATGAGTCCTCGGCCAGCTGAGCACACAGCGCAGCCGTCCCTATCCCACCTGCTATTACTTGTGGCCATGCATGCCTGCCTTTGACATCATCTTGCAGGCAGGCACGTTGGCTCTCCTTTCCAGAAGACCATTCTGGAAACCAGAAGGCGCACTTTCCTCACACTGCTCACACCCTACTGCTCCCCCGCCCCTCCCCCACCCTCATGCCTTCCTTTTGATCTATAGAGCTAAGGGCTTCCTGCATCTTCCCCATCATCTCCCAGGGTAAAGAGAGGGACAGTGGTGGGTTGGCCTTTCTTGTTACCTCTTAGTGTCTGCTTCTTTCAGGCCTGGAATCTTAGTTGTAACTCTGCCTTTGAGCAAGGACTGAAGGACTCAAAGAGTATGTACAAGAGAGTATCCTGCAGCTTCGTGGTCACCAGGAAATCAACTTTCACAATCATCATGCTTTAAAAAAGCCTCAGTTGTCCCCAGTGAGACATAAAGCTAAAATGCCGAAAGCCTGTGGCAGATGGTCAGCCATAGACAGGACACATGGCTGGTACCATGGCAAGTTGTTTCTCTTTCCACTTCTCTCCCAGATGACATGCACAACAGTCTGTCCATTGGACTTAGAAGCCTGAGTTGTCTCCTCTCAGAGACACTGGCTCTTCCTATGCCAACAAACACCTTTGCACTGCAAACCTTCTTGGTAGGCTAGTCCAGCACCTTCCTTTTGTTAGAAGCTGAGACACAAAGGTCATGTTCACTGTTGTGGAAAGTCCCTGGATTAGGGCCTGCGGATGGCTGGGATTGTTCCCATGGGACACTTCTTCTCCCCTACCCCCATGGGCACACCAGTGTATTTGTGCCTGCCCATAAAGAGAGCAGGCTTTTTTTCCCCACAGCCAGCCAGTAGGCTGCACACTGGATTCATACAGTTTCTCTCAAAAGGCCTGTGTTGGGTGTGACCCTTCCTTTTCCAGTGGCTGCGTGTTCATCATGTTGCAGA